CCTCCCTCTTATCCATGGTCTCCTCTCCAAGGGCGCGAATCCCAACGGCCCGCAATACAAATGCGAACTTGTTGGTTGCACCGGTCGGCACATCTCCACCGCCCTCCACTGGGCCACAAAAAGCAATAACGAAACGGTGATCAAACTCCTCCTCGAGCACGGCGTTAGCGTCAACGCGACCGACAACCACAATGCAACCCCCGTCCATTGGGCTTGCGGCAACAGCACCATCCCAATTCTGAAACTTCTCGTTGATCAGGATGCCGATTTATCTGCTAGGGATGGGGACGGTGACCCACCCATCGCTTGGGCTGCGGAGAAAGGAATTCCCGATGTCTTCGAGTACATGCTTTCCCGTGGCGCGGATATCAGAGCTATCAATAATTCTGGAGCGACACTTTTGCACACTGTATTCCTTCGTGGCGACAAGTACATCGACAAACACGCCGAAGTCGTCCGTATCATGCTAACCCGCAACTTTGACATGCTTGCACACGTCGACAACCGCAGAGATGCCGCCCTCCACCTTGCAGCTCGCTGCGGTTCTCTTGAAGCTGTCAAGCTTATGCTAGACGAAAACCTTTCTCAGCGCCTAGACGTCAACATGCGCGGCTCGGACGATTCCACCCCACTCTACCAAGCCTCCGAGGGTGGTGAGCTCAGAATGGTGGAATACCTAATCTCCAAAAGCGCAGACGTCAATCTCCCAAATTCCTCGGGGTCCACACCCTTACACACCGCCGCCGGTTCCGGCCGTCTTGAGATTGTCCGTGCTCTCGTCGATGCGGGCGCTAATGTGAATGCTATCAGAGGTCCTTTCACTACAGTACTGTACGATGCTGTCTTCGCTAAGCACGTTGAAGTCGCTGAACTCCTCCTTGAGCGCGGTGCAGACGTAAACGGCTACCTCCCGCTCACAACTCGCAAAACTCACCTTCACATCGCGGCCGGAAATTCCGCTATGCTCAGAGTCCTACTAAAGCACGGGGCTAACATTAACGCTAAGGACAATAGCGGTTCGACAACGCTAATGTACGCCGCCTCCCACCCCGAGGGTCCTGAGATGTGCGAGATCCTACTAGAGCACGGGGCCGACGTCCGCGCGAGGGACAATGAAGGTCGGAAGGCGTGGAATAGAGCTCATGAGTGTGGAATACATGCTACAAAGACGGTTCTTGAGAAGTACATGGATATCTGGCCGGCCAGGACCGGTAATAGTGTTGATGACATGGAGGAGTTTATCGGGAGCCCGACAGAGAGCTGGGAGTTGGAGAGTTTCTTTGTTGTTGAGGAGGTGGATGCGCAGTTGGCTGCAGCAGCGCAGGCTTAAGAGGAGGCTGCTGGGCAGGATGCAGCTGAAGGGGCGGGGGATACCAGTGGCCAAGTGCAGAATGAAGCGGAGGCAGAAGGCGAGGACATCGATCTGTAATCGTACGGTGTACAGTTTCCTTTTCGTTTTTTTTCCCATTTCCTAATCGTTTCCCTCCCTCTCATCTACTTTCATCTCACCATTCCCTTTCTCTTTGTACAACTTACCAAAAAAGCCTCGAGCGGGGGATAGACCATTGTCAATTGCCGGAATAAATAGTTTCTTTTGCTGGACGGGGGGTGGAAAAGTTGGATGGCAGATTTCATTCTTGATCCCTTTCTATTTCTCACAACCCACCTTTTTTTTTTCCGTTTCATCTTTGCATTTTCACCTTACCCCTCCTCACTTTATTTCGCTTTTTCTCTACTGTCTACTACCTTTTTTTTATTGTTTTTGTTATACGTTTCTAGTTCGGACCCCTCTCGCGTGTCTGGGTGGATACCATACTGGTAACTTTGTTTGAAGGCCTTGATTGTATGCTAGGTTAATGAACTGCGTTAACAAAATTTTGCCCCCCATTTTTTTTTCCTTCTTGTGGCCCTTGCATATTTTGACATGATTTGTGATGACCATGATCGTCTGGAGTGCAGATACTCGCAATGTACCATATCATCGTGAAGTGAAAAGCGCCACAGTAATAGTTAGGGCGAAGTGGGGATATAGTTTATCCGGGTAACGGGTAAATGTCCGTGCCCTGCCTGCCTGCGGTAGTTGTGGGAGGGTAATTTGCCGGTCGCGTAAGAGAGCATAATGCTACTCTACCCAACTACCAACCATAGATGAATAGTACAATCTTGTGCTTCAATTTTTAATTCCCAGTAACCCACCCGAATCCCACACCTCTAAAATACCTAGAGCAATCTACTGTAAATGCTCGAACACAAAAGAAATGTGGTAGGTCGTTGGAATTCCTAATACTCAGAATACCCTAGAGAGATAACCGCAGATTCACCCCTCAGTTAAGACAAAAAAGAAAAAAGTATACACCGCGTCTCACTGCGAGGGGTAATTACAACGTCCTAGCACGTTTCTCTTGTGTTCGAGTGCTTACTCGCTTCCTCTCGTGCAGCTCCTCTGCATAAAAAATGCCCTTTGTGAGCGTTAGACCACCACAGCCCCGAGTGACCGAAAACGGATTCACGGTTCCTCGGAGGTACCATCCCGTAAGAAACACACTACTGAAACCCATTGCACGAGCCGGTGGCCGGGACTGCTGGTAACGCGATGGACAGGAGTATGTATAAAACCTATGAACTAACTTCTCCCTTCCTGAATAACCACATAAGTTATACCCTTTGTAATAAGTATATGAATACGGAGGAGTTTCTGATATATTAAAGTATGAAGGTGCCGGAACAGGTGGGGGGGTTGAATGTCCGGGCAAGTGAAGGAGAGGTAATGCCTGCTGTATCGCCGACGGCTTATAAAAGAAAAAGAAAAAGGAATATTTGAGGGATGTTCGGGGAGGAGAAACCTACGGAGGTTTTTTTCCCCTATGCTGTTAGCATGTCATTGGCTCTAACTCGGCCCCCAGTTGACCAGAGAAGACTTAACGGGGAGGTCCTGGTCAGAGGAGAGCTTTGCGCATCGGTGGAGCCTGGCTTGGTTTGATTCGAGTCCCAACACCATTAGAAGGAGTATAACTTTGAGCTTCGTAGAGGTATCTTTTCAATATTAGGTGGGAAAGAAAAGGAAAGAAGCTAATGTAGATTTAAGCTATGATACCCCCAAAAGAACCAGCCTTACCTACCTACACATCAACATCTTGAAAATTTACGCTCTGGATTTCTATGTTGAGAAGGAGGGGAGAAAAATAAGAAACGATCTAATACTGGTACCCTTTGACGAGGTTGCTCTAGGCGTTACAGTAGCGTCTTGCTGAGAATGCAGCCTAGAGTCTTACCGTAATAGACTCACGATTTACTGATTAGTATAGTAACACACACCGAGTGGTTAGTAAGCCTGTAGAAAGATTGTCTTTTTCCCACTAGGTCCCAATTAGGAATAGAAGGCTGAGGCAGATGAGAGTTCTGGAGATCGTAGATGTGCCCCCGGAATTTAAACCGAGGGTTTTGAGGGGATAACGCGACTCTATAATGAAAGTCAAACAATAAACAAACAATTACAATGGTGGAACGCTATTGCCTTGACCTTCCGTGACACTAAGATAAGCATTTCCCTCCGGTCTGCACAAACACTAAATTTTCGTGAGTCATTGTCAGTCAAAAAAACATGACTCAGTTCTGTTACCTTGAGTAATCACCGAACCACAGCGACCTAATTTGTGACCTAGAAGCGGTGATATTTCTAAGCGGAATTTGTGGGTACTCGAGTATACCCGGTAAGCTAACCGCGTACGGTACGATAATTCCCTCCTTTCTGAGGGTCATAGGCTAGGGGTGTAGTAGAGATTCATGAGGGCTCACTCGCTCACAGATTAAGCTTCTAGCTGTAAAATTTATATTGACGCAGTAGGATACGCGCAGTAACTCAGCACGAATCCAGTAGACGCCATTAGCAGAGTTCTTAGGGGATGAGAGAGTTCATCCATAGCATACAGAGGAGGAAAAGATACCTGATTTATGTTGCTAAATATGCAAAACTAAGCCTAAGTAATGATACTGCTTGATGGTATAATCGAAACTTACTATGGTTTATCAGCCCTCTATATGCACAATTATACTATATTTTGGTACTGTATAAGATTGAGAGCATTGAATGCTCTTTCCGGGGAAAGAGAATATTGAGAGGACTCGGAAGATTTTTTTTGATATGTTAGTATCATACGAGCCAACGAAATAAGAAATATACATGCCATACAATCACTAGGGCTTCCCTGAAAGCAACCAAGTCTAGCCGGACATGCCATAAATGTACTTATCCGGACCTTCAAACATGGCCAAGGGAGAATGTGCTGGGGATATCAAGATATCCCGAGTCCTACTGTAGACAATGGGGTTTTATGCAAAAAAATCAAAAATTGGCTAGCTTGATTCCCACAAGGAATTAGCTATGCTGAAAGATTATCTTTAGGTCATGGATTTATCGTGATACTCTCAACATTTAGTGATAGGGGCTAAGATACTCAAGTTTATAAAGCATAGGAAATTGGGCAGTAGTAAGAGATAGTGTGTATAATGGTTATTTGGTGAAGAGGCTGTATATAGTGTAAACAGTGTGAAAATATACTGTTAGCTTGAGTAAGCGTCTTTCCTCCTATTTACCTAATTTATTTCATCTCAGACACCAAATATTTCCCCCAGCACCTATGACTCTGGTTGTAGAAAAAGCCAAATGAACCCAAAAGGCAGAAGACAGCACCAACCCTTGTATTGAGAGATACCACCCTTTCTGGGTGCTATTACTTTCCAGATAGAATTTACAGTTGCTCACAATACAGAAATGGAGGGTACACTCTTAGAGCACTCTGTAACGAGCTAGAGGCTAAAACAGACCAAAAACCCACTGCGTTTTCTCACCAACTACTAGCACTCTTTAAAAACTAGATGGATTGTGCGTTAGTTGTTGTACCCATTAGGGTTTTTTTTGGTTTTAGGATCCCAATGTCATATTTGACTAATAGTGACCACTCGAAAAGGGTCATGGACCCTTAGGTGAACTAAGTAACAATGACTGTGTAGCGTAGTGGAAGCGCGTCTGCATCACAATCGCGAATACCGCAGAAGGCCGCAGGTTCGAACCCTGCCACAGTCAGCGTAGAAGTTCTTGAGCTATTTCATAGCTGAGAGCTGTGTTTTTTTTTCCTTCTCGTTTTCTCTGCGAGGCCATACAGATAGACCTACCAAGGCTCCGGCCACTTCAAGTGACGCTAAGCCACCTTCGACGAAGGTGGATCTCCCTAGGAGTGAGTGCCTGGCAGTCCAACGAGAGATTTATTTCATGCAGTAGGGGATATATCTTCCCCCCCGCCCAGTGGGAAATAGACAAGCCATGAGTGAATCCCGGACTTCTTCCTGTCGCTCCCTCAGAGTGGTCGGGTAAGGAGCCCCCTCCACCCCCTTCAACCTCTGCTACAGCGAATTGCCTGCCGAGACGACGTTCGTTTTTGCAGTAGGGGATGAAATATTGCATGCCCCTCCCCTCACTCAAAATGCGGTAGTACACATGCTGTGAACATCTAGTAAGAACTGGGGAGGATGGAATACCTGACTGGAAATATTTCAGACATTGGAATTTCCTTTTTTTTTGTCTGCATTTTCTTTCCTTTCGATCTTATTTTGGGATTGGTTACTTTGTAGACTCCTAGTAGTGCAGTGTTTGGCCTCTATCTAATTACTTGGCCCCTATACCAGGATCAGAGCCCGAGTGACTACTTATGACTAGTTCAAGCTCAATGCAAAACCTTAGTTTATTGGAGGGTGTGTTTTCCACCATATGTCCGATTGTGACCAAGTGACGGCCATTGGAAATGGTTCTTGAGAGTAGTCTGTAGTACCGGTGGAGTAAGTAGTGCCCTTGTTTCTTTTGTTCAGATAAGATGAAGTTTTTGTTTTTCATTAGCCTTTTAGGATATTAATCATCTTACAATACCTCCTAAGTTAATTAGGAAACTATAATTAAGAGACTCACTGGCACCCCTATTTTCGGTAATCTGCGGGCTCAGGAATTGAGCTAGGAAAGGAGGCCGGTAGGGCGGGGATAAGGTTTTTGAGGAACCCCGGGGGGGGGGGTTTAAAACTCTTATTCTGTATTAGTATAAGTATTATCCGGTACAGCGGGCGATCTGGGATCGTTTTTTTTTTTTTTTTTGTTAAATCCGTGGTATTGTTTTAGGTACATGCAAATACACTTCCCCGGGTACAAACCGCTGCATTCGGGAAGTATCCCATGGCAAATAAAAAAACCCAAAGCACTAACAAAAGAAACGCATCCCAACCCTGTCCAATGTCCCAAATCCTACAGTCCCTCTGGTATGGGACCAACCGCACATCCTCCCCCAAAAGAAAAAGGCAGGCAGAAAAGGAAACACCACCAGTAGACCCCAAAACAAAAGAAAAATTTGTAAATGCCACTCATACCCATTCTTCATCGTCCTGGCCGTAGGGCCGTGGGCAGACCCCTTCCCTTGTTTTATAGGGATCAAGGAACCCTTTGTATGAATAACCGCTACCAGTCCAAGAGTACAGGCACCGGGGAGAGATGTGGTAAACAGCTGGCAGGACGGGAGTGCATCCAGCTGAGATAGTGATAGTTTTCGACCGATCGGGGGGAAGTTGACCGGAAGGAGAAAGTAGTAACCCCACATGGCTATGTAGGCGAGAGTGCCACCAAGGAAGGGAGGTATATTTGTCAGCAGTAGGGTGCCAGCCAGGTGTTTTTTATCTCAGAGGACGCCATACCAGCACACTTATGAAGCTCCAAGTTCAGTAGCCGGGCAGGATCGTGAGATTGGGTTATGGTGTTTTACCCCGCTTTCCGCCTTCCAAAATAGGAAGGTGAAGGCAGGGTCAGGAAAATTGAGGAGACGGAGCTTGGGGCGATCTGGGATCGTAGGTCAAGCTTTGATATACGGTAAAGGACTCTCCGCGCGCTTTTGTAAATGGCGGCGAGGTATCCGGATCCGGGATAGCGGGGTGTGACTCTACTTGGTGCTGTGCCGCACTGCAGAGTGCTGTGTAAGCGAAACTTGGTGAGGGTGGTAGGGATGTGGCTGGATTTCAATACCGGTAGGCATGGTAGAGTGCTCGGAGTTGTAGGAACTACAGTTCGAGTCATCGTTTAGATGGTGCGTGATTTGATGGATGACTTCTCTGCGAGTCTGTGAAGCTTAGGGTAAGGGAAGGTTATCTTGTCAGTGCTGGAAAATTTCCCTCCTGGTTCAAACTGCAGGTGTTATCATACAAGTACCACGGGACATGTTTTCATACAAGGGAGGGATAGATAACTAGCAAAATAACCCCTGTCTTGAACGAAAACATCTCTTCGTGCTTGAGTACCCGTACCATAGCTGGAATAATTGAGAATGCTAGGACGTTGGAGTTACCCCGCCCAGTAACTTAAGGTCTATTGGATCTCTTTATTTGTCTCAACAAAGGGTCGAAAGAGAATCTTTTCCCTACGTGTTTCTCCCCACAACCCAAGGGGGAAGTTCTGTACAAGTGCCAGGGATAAAGTTCTCGTACAAGTGCCAGGGGTGATGTTTTCGTACACCCCAGTGTGGCTTACCCGCAAAAAACTATTAAAAATTGGTGAGGTCACAAAGTGGTGTGTACGAGAACTTTTTTTTTTTTTTTTTTTTTTTTTTTTTGTAAACTTTTATTCGAGCTAGGTTACAACAACTAATAACAAAAGAAAACTCCCCAACCCCTAGCCCTACTTAAGTGGCTTTCTGTATCACAGTATGGATGTCTGCCACACCTCCCTTCGGCAAGCGGAAAACCCACATGTACCTCCGTTCGGTCAAAACAACAAAATTACTCAAGTGAGTATACCCACCCAAGATTCCCTCCTTCCATCTCCTCCGCTTCACCTTCTCCACAACCTATACTACTTGCAATGGGTAATATAAATCGTCAAAGGGAATATTCGCCTAAAGAAAGTAATTTGCCCAACCGCCACACTCAAACCCATACTATACCCAAACTTACCACCCTAATCCCCCTCCGAATTCGAAAACCCATCCCTCTCCATCACCTCCTTCATCCACCCTTCTAACTTTCTCGCTCTGGGATCAACCTTAACACTCTTCCTCATCCAAGGAACCGGCAACTTCTTCTTCCTCTCTTCAAATCGGAAGTTCCAATCCCCCGTACCGCCAGGTTTGACCCCAAAGTTAACTCCTTTACCTTTCTCCTTTTCCATCTCTTTCTCCCGGTCACCCATCTTCATCGTTTCCTTCCAGTGCCTCATCTCATCCCTCACCCCCTCCAGGCCGAATAACATTTTCCTACCCAGAGACTTATCCCTGTCCGCGAGCTGATCCACGCACTCCCGAACCCGAACCCAACCACTCTTCTTCCTGCCCGGCTGAACTGCCTCAAAAAATCTTACCATATGCCATCTGCCCCCCAACCATAATCCTTTCCTAACCAATCTCCTCGCGTCCTCTTCTCCCCTTATCAAAACAACCACCGTAGAAGATGTCTTACCCATCCCCCTATGGCGTTCCAACTCCTTCTCTCCAACCAACCATCTCGAACCATCACAAATGACATATCCCTCCTCTTCCAATCCAGCCGTCACTCCACCAATCCCCATCTCCCACACCACACCACCAATTTTTAATCCCACTACCGTTCCCCTGCCCCTCAATCCTTCAGAGTTAAACGGTATCCCCTTTGCATCCCACCTCCTCTTACCCATCCTCTCACCCGTGAACTCACTGAAATCATCCCCTCCCCTTTTCATCGTGTTAGGCGTGACCGGCCTTATCTCTATCGGCGTAATCGATTTCTTCGGCGTAAAAGGACTGCTCGTTCGGACAAAAGTTCGAAGTTGGGCCTCCTTCGTGGCTAGCTTTGTTTCCGCCGCTGTAAGCTTCTCCCGTAACAGGGCGACTTCCCTTTTGAGACTGGCAACTGTATCTTCCATTTGAAAGTGACGTGAGTGAAGTGTATCGCGTGGTCGATAAATCTGTTTAATTGGCCAAAACCCTGATCGTGGTCTTGTGCGACAAGTAGTAAAACCTTTGGGTAAGGTTGTAACGGAGACGGAGCATGTACGAGAACTTTATCCCTGGCACTTGTACACACCACTTTGTGACCTCACCAATTTTTAATAGTTTTTTGCGGGTAAGCCACACTGGGGTGTACGAAAACATTTTCTTTTTTTTTTTTTTTTTTTGAAAACTTTTCTTTATTTGCTAACTACTCTCCATAGCGGCCGTGGCCGACGCCCCGCAAGGACATCACTCCTCTATAGCATGCCAGCTCATGACTAACGGCATCAAATAATTAAAGGGCTTTCTGTATCCAACCTAGATGTCTGCCCAACACCAAATCCGCCCGCTCCATATGGTAAGAACCTCCATCTGCGGTACAATACCTAGAACCGAAACCTACTATCCCAACCGCAAGCTTGGTATCGTCGACGTCTTTTCGGAATCAGCCCCTCTGACCACTTTCCAGCCCTTTTTCTAACCAATGAAAACGTAACCCCCAAAGAAATAAACAACCTCCACCGCTACCACTTTCCGCTCTGAGCCTCCCCTAGGTAATTTTATGGCCGCGAAGTAGGCCACCTCCACCCCCACCCCTTCCATCGACTATCGTCTCATCCGTGCCATGGTCTATGATATAGTAATGGTATGCCATAAACCATCCTGGAGACTCGAAACCTAAAATATCATGAGCATATAAGGAAATATTCAAAGATAGTATTGGTCGAAGTAAAATCCATCGCCTAACCAACCCCCGGATCCGATCCCCTGCCATTCTAGCGGCGCGGTTAGATAGACCTCCCCGGTATGGGTGCGACTTCATCCCAACGACCCTCCTAGCCCGTTCCCAAAACTCCTACCCCACCCGACCGAGCATCAACGCCATGAGTTGGGCCGCTTGCAATGGGCGACCCCCCCCATCCCTGACACTAATGCAAGCCACTCCTAAACCAACGCCACTCCCAACCCAAACGCCACCTTCCTCCAACGCCACTCCTACCTCCAGCCACCAACCCAAAACCCAGCCACAAACTCCTTGCCACAACTCTCTTGCGCCACAACCACTGCGCTCGACTCAAGCCCTAAGGCTAAGCCA